GTTGCTACAGTGATATTGCAGGAATGCTGCTGAAATCAACAGGAATATTTTTAGATTCTGGACTACAAGACAGTTGTGATGAATTTTGGGCCAGTGCCGATGACAGTACTGCATCAGATGAAATCAGGTATTAAGCCCTTCGGCTTAATAATAATAAACACACTTACGCATGTTTCTATACCCCTGACAGGTACATACTGCATTTTATTTCTTAGAATGAAAACTTTGTAAATGCAAGACTCCGTAGACTTTATTGCTGATATTTCTGCATGCAGTAGTAATGAACCATCATATTGTTTGTTTGAAGCCTAGTAATCTTCTTTTTAGTTTAGGGTATGAGAGATTGTTTATTTAACATTCTTCAAATTTAATTTTCACATCCTTCTCAAAAATGTGCCTGCGCAAGTTCAATTTATTTCAGTCAGCCGCTTGTAAATATTTATCTTTTTTATGCTCTTTCTATTGACATATATGTAAATAATGCTTATTTTCTAATAGCTATGAAAATGCAATACAATTTATTAAAACATTGTCACTTCATTCTTACCAATGTTTCAGGAGGTCTGTTATAGAGACCAGCCGAGCACTCAAAGAACTGTTTCATGAAGCTAGAGAAAGGGCCTCCAAAGCTCTTGGTTTTGCTAAAATGCTGAGGAAGGTAAGTTAACACTAGAGTCTCATCTTATTTATATGCTTTAAAGAAATTTAGTCTGAAAGCATATTCTTTTGTTTTGTCATTACTTGTAGGACCTTGAAATAGCAGCAGAATTTGCATTGTCAGCCCCTGTGCGAGATCTTCTGAACGCTCTGAAAACAAAAGAGTATGTGAAGGTAAATTCAGTTTAGAGGCATGAAAGTAGAGTGGGGATGCTAAGCAAAACGTCAAAGGGTATTTATTGACATATTTTCAATTTTTTAATGTGGCATCTATATCTCAACATTTAAAATGTCATGTATTTAATATTGAATTGTGGCAGTCAAATTATTTTCAGTACCTGTGTTTGTGTGAGTGAGAATGCTAGTCTGTGTTTTGGGAAATCGGTGTCTAATTCCTTGTATTCCCAAACATTCTCCTTGTGACTTAGGAAAAGCCATTTTGCTTCAGTAGTACTTACTCATTTGTGAGAGGGGAGTAATAACACTTAGTAGGGAGTGTTATGAGAAATAAATGCTTGAAAGTTTATGAGGTAAACAGATATGTCTGTAAACGGACATGTTTAAGTAGGTAATCTCAGACTATGGACCTGTGTTTTGCGTGCTTTTATAAAGCAACAATATAGTGGAGGTCTGCTCTAGCGAGCTTCGTTGAGAGTACCAAGGATATGACAAATGCAGGGACTGTGTTGTTCCAGAATAACTCTTGCTAGAAAACTGTTGTACAGCAGAAGTAGGTTAAACTCTCAGTGCCTGATATTTACTGCACTATAAATTCCCACGTTTATGGTTTTGCACTTTATTCCTTAAAAATTCCTAGGTCAATAAGTCTTTATTGTAGTTTGAATTTAAGTAAATCAATTGCTTCAACAGATTAAATTTATTTGGATCTGCTGTTCTTTTTTGTCCTTCCATACATTTAATATATATAATTCCCAATTGGGAAATAATGTACTAAATTTTGCTTGACAGAATTCTTGTTAGATTTATATAAATGATTGCTAAAAGTAGAAATTGGTTCAAGGGGAGGCTGACAAGTTCATAGGAGAGAAGTTCATAAAGGGTTGTTAAATACATGGATGAAACATCTGGCTTAGCAAGACCCTAGTCTATGACTTGCTTAAGAGTGGGAGATTAGTCAGGGAAATCAGTATATGTTTACTTTTAAAAAATATTTTTCCCCAGATATCCACTCTTGGCTGTTTTAAGACACAATATTAAATTTGGTAAACCTTTTAGTTAAAGATAGTATTATTGTTCTTATGCACATGTTTTGAAGAAAAAATAGAATCTTGAGTTTGAAAAATCTGTGTAAGCACATGTGTTAAATAATCTAGATAGGTTATTTGGATCTCAAGATTTATCCCTCTCTATGTATTATCTCTCCCCTTTTTTTCACTACTCAAAATGACACACATTTTGGTGACTAACACTTCATATTGGCCCTCTAACATCATGTAGGGAGTTTAAATTTTTAACAGCCTTTTCAATCAGATGCTCACTAGTTTTGGGAAACTATTTTAGCTTTCAGTAACAACCATCTAGTTTTTACATTAACCTGTAGATTATAATGGGTTTACTTACAAAATATGGCTGCCTAATTGTAAAAATGTTGAGTGCAGTGTTTCGTCTAGCTTGATGACATCGAACTCTGAAAAGAGAGAATTAAATTTCACTGTCAGTCAGTTATCTCATGTCAAATCACAGATACCAACTGTTTTCTGTTTTCACAGTCTGGTTCTGATGCTTGACTTAGTTAAAGTATTGTTACCAATGTGGCAGATATAGAATCATAGAATCATTAAGGT